CCCCAGGAACCCTTTTGGGAAGGTGGGGGCAGTGAAACTCTTCTTTCCTCCCCTTTCCTCCTAATTCATATGGGAACATTGCTGGCTGTTCCCCTTTTTCAGAGAGCACAGTTGGAAAGTGCACAATTTGCTACATTCCTCACTCTGGCAGGAACTCGGACCTACCCCAGCCATAGAACATGCACTTCTCCCCTGTTGTATAAAATATAAACCTGTCTAGATCAGTTAACCTGCTTAGAGAGGGCCATTGGTGGCATTTAAAGCAACATACACCCATAAAACATTCCTGAATAAGAAAGCTTGGAAATTCTGACAAAACAGAACTTTTTTTTTTCTTTGATCAGCACTAAAGATTATAAGGCTGTTCATCTGCAGCTCAAGTGTAACTGAAGGGATACCTTGTGTGTGCGTCCATGCTTCTCAAATTAGACAAAACCAAAGAAAGTTAGGGCTTGTTATCCTTTAGTTTACACCAGTTTTTCATTGGTATAGAGTGTAGGAGAAGAATTCTTTCCAATCTGATTTTGATGATCCCTGATCATTATTCTTGTGATTCAAAACATAAGTGGAAATTGAGTTAGGTTTAAATAAAAAGTTGATAACAGTTTAGGGAGTGCCATTGTAGCAGTGTGCTCTTGTCAAATATGATGACAAAATATTTAAAAAAAATGAAATTAAGGGCCATTGATTGCAACCATTTGACATAAATGTTTCTTTAAGTCTCATTATATAAGATAATGCTTCCATACTGAGGAACAATGTACCCGCTGGACCTCCCCACCTAACCAGTCCCAGATGAGGGATTTTGCTGGACTAACGGAGGTAACTTCTGGACCCCTGCCACCAGCCCCCCTGGTCCAGCCTGCTGACCTCCCGGCTGGCTCCCTTCCTCTTGCTGCTCTGCCGACCCCACTGTTCCGGGACCCACTGAGCAGCCCTGTGCTGGGGCTCTGGGATCTGTCAGACTGCTGTGCATGCAGCATTGGGGATCTGGGACCCTCAGGGCAGCCATGCACCGGGTCTCCCAATCCCGGTAGGCAGCTCTGCTGGGCAGCCCTGGGAAGTGCTGGGCAGCCCTTCCGTCAGCTTTCTGCGGTCTGCCCATGGCCTTGCCGGTCCCGCAGGGATCCTTGCTTCTGGCCTCCCAACATCCACTCTGGACCACAGATGTTGCCAGACCAGACAATCCTGGTTACGAGCGTTTCAAACTTTTGTAGTAATAAAGTGGTATATAATAATATGAGAAGGGCAATACTGGGTCAGGACAAAGGTCTGCCTACCCCAGTATCCTGTCTTCCAAAACTGGCCAATGCCAGATTCCCCAGAGGGAATGAACAGAATAGGTAAACATCATGTGATCCCTCTCCTGACATCCATTTCCAGTCTCTAACAATCAGAGTCTAGGGATCTCATTCTACCCATCCTGGCTAATAGCCATTGATGGATCTGACCTCCATGAATTTATCTAGCTCTTTTTTTTGAACCCTGTTAAATTCCTGGTCTTCCCAGCATCCTCTGGAAAGGAGTACCACAGGTTGTGCACTGCATGATTGTGTACTGCACTTCCTTTTGTTTGTTTTAAACCTGCTACCTATTTAATTTCATTTGGTGACCCCTAATGCTTTGGGAACAAGTAAATAACTTTTCCTTATTCACTTTCTCCATACCTGTCATGATTTTATTGACCTCTATCATATTCCCCCTTAGTCTCTTCGGGTATGTCTACACTGCCACCCTAGTTCGAACTAGGGTGGCTAATGTCGTCATTCGAACTTGCAAATGAAGCCCGGGATTTAAATATCTCAGGCTTCATTTGCATGTTCCCAGGTGCCGCCATTTTTAAACGCCCGTTAGTTCAAACTACCTGCCCGCGGCTACACACGGCATGGGCTCATTGCAGGAGAAGTAATGGTAGTTTGAATTAGGAGCTTTAATTCAAACTACCTAGCCCATGCCACGTGTAGAGGCAGGCAGGTAGTTTGAACTAACGGGCGTTTAAAAATGGCGGCACCTGGGAACATGCAAATGAAGCCCAGGATATTTAAATCCCGGGCTTCATTTGCAAGTTTGAATGACGACATTAGCCACCCTAGTTCGAACTAGGGTGGCTAGTGTAGACATACCCCTCTTTTCTAAGCTGAAAAGTCCCAGTCTTTTTACACTCTCTTCATATGGGACCCATTCCAAACCCTTAAAAATTTGTTGCCCTTTTCTAACCCTCTTCCAATATCAATATTTTTTTTTTGAGATGAGGTGACCACATCTGTATTTAGATGTCTGAATAGCTATTTAAATTTGGAGCTGTTCATTCTGTGTATACAATTGCAATAATTACTCATGAACGCCAGGCCTCCTATTCCCCTGCAAATCTTGAAACAAACCATTATTCTGCCTACTTGACTAAGGGCCAAATTGTGATACCCTCATGCATGGTGACTAGCACTTTACTTCAGAAGTTCTATTGCCCTCAACAAAACATCTTGTGAATAAGACACTCCTTGTTGTGAGTAAATACATCACTTCCTGGCTCTGAGTGGTTTCATAAGCGTCAATGATAAATTGTGTTTGGGGCCTTTTTTTAATCTCTAGTCTGTTATTTTCATGGGATTATGAAGGATATCTAAGGGAAATGCTGTTCTTTTAACATCTGCATATGAAATATCAGCACTGATACATTTAAAAAACGATGTGAAATATAGAAAATTAGAAAACTAAACACATCTGGGAAAATTAAAGAGCAGATTCTGCTCTGGGTTACGTAGATGTAAATCTGATGTAACTGAGATCAGAATGTATCACTGTGTATAATCTCTAACAAAGTTCTGTCCTTTTCCTACAAATCACAAGTAAAGTTAGAATTAAGACAGAAGCTCCTACCATTACCACTGTCCTCAAAGGGCACATTCTATTGGTGAATCAAAATGTACCTCTCAGCATTTTTAAAGGCGATAAGAATTCTAATGCCATGGCCTTCATTAGAATGAGTGTTATGAAACTGACACCTCAAAGTGATCAAAATAATGTATGCACAGCAAATGAAAGAAATTTCACTAGAGCATAAAATCATGTTCAAGAGGTAAATTTGTTATGAGATCACTTAATCCATAAAGAGAAAAAAAGATACTTAACTGTCATATTGAATTACTTTAACTAATTACTGAGCCCTGCAATAGCCCGAGCAAGTAATGTCTTTTTAAGTTCACTTATTGAGCCAAACTTGGCAATGACTAGCATTCAGTGCAAATCCCAGTGAGGCGGGATTGCACAGGAGGTAGGTCAATGCTAAATTGGTCTATTATTGCATAGCATAGAGACCAGGATAATTATTGAAGTAATTGAAATAAAAGGAGTTACACAGGTATAAGTGAAAAGAATCGGGCCTGTATACAACATGCATTTTCAGTAGAGTGCTCAGAGAATGATACCTGAAAATTGGGGCCCCACCATTAAAGATGTTTTGCATAAATCCCTGTGCCCTGTGTTGAAAATAAGCTTAATTCATTCACAGTTGTCTGGCGTAAATTGGGGCTCATGCTATTGAAGTCAATGCATTTATCCCAGTGTATAATTGGCAAGAAGGAAAAGGATCAGGTCCAGAGCTGTACCACACCCTTTTGATAACCTGTAGTACATTGCATTATATCCTGAGGCTGTCATCATTATAAACAAGGTCTCCCAAGAACAGAATGCAATGGAGATCTTTCTAGCTTACAGAACACTGTGTGACTAAAGTCCTTTTGCCTCTTCCAGCTGGAGAACATTCTGATACTGACTTAGTCCAGAACAAAGTTTTAGAAAGAGCAAAATGGGCTGGATTATCACCTGTGGCCAAGTGATGCTTCACACAACTGAGGAGAGGTAGGAATACAAGATATATTGATGCCATTTCTATGGCTGCCCTGGCAGCTGCTGGATTCTCCAGGCTTTTGTTGTAACTTGGAGCAGTCTCAGGGCTTCTCTAAATTATGTCCAGAGGTCCACAGACCCAAGAGGTTATTCTAGCAGTGAGAAATTGCACAAGTTCAGGGGTGCACAACACCTTTTCCTTGGGATCTCCCTCACTCCAAGTTATAGGAATACTGAGCTGGACAAGTTTGGCAGGTTTCTGGATGTTTTGGCCTACTAGAGAATTCCAGATCAGATGGAATTGACACGAGGAATCTCATTCAGTTTGTTTAATGAAAGTTATTTTTGTTAATTTTAAGGGCAATTATTGGCTAAAAACCAACCTCTGCTGTGTGTGTTAATCTCTCAGGAGCAAGGAAGAAGGAAATAATATGACTTTATAACAAGATACAAGAAAAAGGAAGTAATGTAAATAAAGGCATTTGCAAAAGTACCTCAGTGACTTAGGAGCATAGGCTGTACCCTGCAAGTCACTTAGGCTCTTTTGAATATTCCTCTCACACACTTGAAATCAGAAAAAAAAACTTGCTTTAGTTACCTTTTCTTCCGCCCATTTCTCATTTTGTTGCTTTATTTGATAAAGAAGATCTTTGTTTTCTTGGCTCAGTTGCCCATTTTTCTCCCTCAGACTCTGGATGCATTGGAATAGGGCAATAAGGTAGTAATTCAAACTTTTTGTAACAGATCTTCATTTTGTAAAACAGAGATTCATTTATTACTATCAGTCAAACACAGTGTGGTGCAGACTACTAACCTCTGTGGATCAGCCACACAGGAACACACACACTTGGCTAGTGTACTATAACCACACTCAAAAATGTCATTGATTATTCTGAAGATACACCTGCTTATCTAAAGCAAATATTGCGCATGCATGAACCTATTCTTTAATGGGAAAGGAGAATTTATTAATCCTAGCTATTTAATCACTGGCAACAGGAATTATACAACTTTGTATATTAATTGAATATCTTAGAATCATAGAATACTAGAACTGGAAGGGACCTTGAGAGGTGATTTTGTCCAGTCCCCTGTCTTCACGGCAGGACTAAGCTCCATCTAGATCATCCCTGACAGACGTCTGTCTAACCTGCTCTTAAATATCTCCAGTGATAGAGATTCCACAACTTTCCTAGGCAATTTATTCCAGTGTTTAACCACCCTGACAGTTAGGAAATATTTCCTAATGTCCAACCTAAACCTCCCTTGCTGCGGTTTAAGCCCATTGCTTCTTGTCCCGTTATCAGAGGCCAATGAGAATAACTCTTCTCCCTCCTCTTTGTGACACCTTTTTCGATACTTGAAAACCACTATCCTGTCCCCCTCTCAGTCTTTCTCTTTTCTATTATTTTAAGTTGTAAGCTGGTGTTTCTTATTATTAATATAGATTGGTATCCCTTACCAAATGTGTACTTGATGAGAGATGCAGTTGTGGCTAGTATGGGAGATCTCTGCTCAGGGAACCTGTTCCTTAAACTGAGGTGAAGATCAGCTCAGCTATGAGCAAATCTTTTGGAAAATGTGCTGCATAAAGAACAATTCTGCATTGGCAGAGGGTTGGCCACAGTATTATTCTAGGTCTTTGCCACGACTTGATTATTTTCATTTGATTTCTGTGGCCCTGAGAAGAACAGATAATTTTGGATGGAAATAAGTGCCTTCGTGGCTAGGCTTCTGACATGATGGAGCAACTTTTCCAAGAAGTTTTGAGATTCCAGAGTTGGGGCAGTTCTTATGAAGTGAGATCAAGTGCTAATTAAGATTGCATAAGTAGGACAGAATGAAAAAGATAAAATTGAAGGGCATTCTGAGAATAGCTCCATTGACATCAAAGCTATGTTCCTTTATGCCATCTGTGGATCTGCTCTGAATAGCATGAGTTTCTGCAATGAAAGTGCATAAAAATAGGTGAAAGGCTATGTCTAGACTGCAGGCTTCTTTCAGAAGAGGCTTTTCCAGAAGAGATCTTCTGAAAAAACTTCTTCCGAAAGAGAGTATCCACACTGCCAAAGCGCATCGAAAAAGATACCTGCTTTTTCGAAAGATAGCATCCACACTGAATGGACACTATCTCGCATTTAAGTTGTGATTACTATGGATGGAGTGGCCACCAGGGCCACCTGTGCTTTTTCCTTTTTCCTCTTCTTTTGAAAGAACTCCCTCTTCCGTGTTCACACATGCCTTTTTCCAAAAGAGCTCTTTCGGAAAAAGGCTTCTTCCTCATAGAAGAGGTTTATCAATGATGGAAAAACCCCTCTTTTCTTTTGATTTCTCCCCCCCCCCCCCCCCACACGAACACGATTGCAATGTGGACATAAGTGAAGGTTTTTTTTAAAAAAAATGGCCGTTTTTCAAAAAAAACCTCTGTAGTGTAGACATTGCCCAAGTGTTTTGAATAAATTTCTACTAAGTTGCATGTGCTGCACTTTTCAGTTGTCAGAAACTGTTCAATAAGCATGTCTGCAATTTCCAACCCTCTGATGAAATTTGCAGTTCTTAGTTACCTTAGCTGTATTTTGCCATTGCCTATTTTTCTTGTTCACCAGCTCTTGGTAGGCTTCTAACTGGGCTTTCAGGATCTTCATTTTTCCACTGTGCTGACTCTTTAGAACAGTTATGGCTTGCTCCTATACAAAGAAGTTAGATGAATAAAGAAAAAAGCTGGCCTCAGAAAACAACTAAAAACCGGAAAACCTAAAGTTTCATTAAAAACAAAATCTTGGATCCCTAGTCTCATCCCTCTGTCACCCGTAAGCTTTCCCTATGCATCATACTGGCTTCTGTTAATCTTTAGATACCATCATTGTAATAAAAGTTTTTAACAAGCGCTCCTGATGTGGTGCCTTTTGGCCTTTTCCCCCCTCTCAGCAGATGTCTTTGAGAACAGGTCAGAGTGAATTTTGCTAAGAACAATACTGAGATCAAAGCACCTTAAAAAAATAGTTTCACTAGAAAATCTACAAGAGACTGAAATAAGTACAAACAAAAAAAAACATAGCTATGTCTTAGTTTGCATCTAGACTCACCTAAGTTGAAAATAAAACAACACAACCTGCCACACCACTTTTACTAACAATATAGGTGTCAGATAATAAAGTAACTATACAACTTTAGGGCCTCTGGTCATGATTCTGATCTCACTAGTGTAAATTAAAAGTAACCCTATTAAAATTTGGGTAGTTATTTCACCAGTTTCACAGAAGTAATCATCAGCGGCACTCAGTTTGTGTTGCTCTCTTTTAGTTTGTCAAAGCATGGCCATTTTCTTTTAATTGGCTGTGTATCAGACATGTGCCATCTGCTGGAAGGATACCCCCAACTTTCTGTTTTCTTGCCCCCCTTCTTCATTCTATCTGTTTATATTTCTAATAATCAATTAAATCACTTGGAAGTGCTAGGTGTGATTGTGTGACCCTTACATTACCCATGAAATCTACATGATATTTGCATTTGTCCCTGGTGTATTAAGTAAATTCCATTCTTTGTCCAGGAACAATAGCCATTATATTCTGAACTCTCTCAACATTATATATGTAATCTTTGCTTCTTTAATTCAATTTCCTCTGGGTGTTTCCAAAGACTTCTTGAACCTGAATACATGTCTTTTTTTTTGTATACACTTTGTATAGTATGTTAATAATCCAATCCCTCTAGGAACTGGTTGGCAGTCTTTCCCTGGATCAGCCAGAGACCACAAGAAAGATAGTAAACCTAGTAAAGGGGTTTGGCTAAAGCAAAAGGTCCCAGAATGTGTTTTACAAGACATCTTACACTGATACTGTACATGTGCATCCACACATGGCCATTGTGCTGACTGCACCTGCTAGGAGCTTATGCTTTGAAAAGAGAATAATAGTGCTAGCAAAAATGTTACTGGTGAGAGACAAGTTAAGTGTGGACAAATACTTAACTGTGCCTAAAGAGAACGTTGGTCAGACCACAGTGTGGCTGTGTCTAGACTACACCTCTCTGTCTGCAGAGAGATGTAGATTAGGCATGTCGAAATTGCTAATAAAGCAGGGACTTCAATGTCCTGCGCTTCATTAGCATAAACATGGCTGCGTTTTTTTTTTTTTTTTTTTTTTAAGAAACAGAGTTTTTTCGGGAAAAAAAAGCTGTCTAAATGTGGATCTTTCAAAAATAAACCCTTTTCCAAAAGATCCTGTAAACCTCATTTTTTGAGGAATACAGGATCTTTCAAAAAAGGGTTTATTTTCAAAAGATCTGGATCTAGGCTGCCATTTTTTCGAGAAAACTCAGTTTTGAAAAAAGCGGTGGCCATGTTTATGCTAATGAAGCATGGGATATTTAAATCCCTGCTTTATTAGCAATTTCAACTTGCCTAATTTACATCTCTCTGTCGACAGAGAGGTGTAATCTAAACGTACCCTGACAGACAAAAGGCATCGACAGAGAGGTGTAATCTAGACGTACCCTGACAGACAAAAGGCATTTCTTTTACAATCCTAGTTATAATAGCTAGGTGATTGTGTTTCTTCATTTCACAGTAATATTGATTTGTATCAGAGAGGTCTTTTTCCATGGACAGTATCCCCCTCCATCACAGTAACTATTATACGTTCAGCTATTAAAAAAATACATTTGTGCACTCAAAACAGAAGCAGATGGGATCAGTGTGTAAGATAGAGATTGAGAACCATAATCCATCAAGGTGAAAGTCAGGAAGTTGTATTGGCCAACATCTTTTCAATATATTACTCTGTACTTTGCACTACCCTTTGCACTATAGCTCAATATGTATATTCTCTGTCATAATTTCAGTGGTTTTAGTCATCAGGTCAGTCACTAGAGGGAGTTCTCATCTAATAAGAAAGTCTGAAGCAAGTTTATAAAAAAAGGAAGTCTTCAGTTCCTGTGCATACTCAACACTTCACAGTCAAATAAGATAAAGGAAAGTAAATACAGAAAAAGAAAATGAAATATAACAAATCAAGGAGTGTAATTACATGATAAAAACTAAGAGCAAATTTCACTGAACCAAAGAAGTCAGTTTGTTTCTTTTTGTTTACGGGCTTACCGATGATATTACTGGGGACATAGAATGTGGCATTGCATGTATGTAAATAAGGAAGAATTTGTGCCTTCATAGTATATTGATGGGGGGGGGGGGGGGAGAATTAACAATCCATCCAAACACTGATGTTAATCAATGGTCCTGGGTCAGGTTTTTTTTTTTTGTCATGGGGGTGCAGAGTAGGGATGTTAAGGACTAGTCAGCAAGCAAATGTTTATCAGATAGTCGACAGGCTAGTTGACTAGTCCTCCCCCCCCCCCCCCTGGCTGCCTCTATCAGAGGCAGCAAGATGCGGGGGGAAAAGAGAGGGGTACTTCAAAGCAGCAGTGCCGCATAGAGTCTGGATCCCAGGCCCTGTGCAGTGTTGTCCCTTTGAAATGCCGCTGAAGAGTTTCAAAGCAGCAGCACTATGTAGAGCCCAGGGGTCAGCTGTGAGGCACTGCTCCTTTTGAAAGGCCACTGCAGTGTTTGAAAGGCCACTGCGGTGTTTCAGTGCTGCGTGGAGCCTGGGGTCAGCTGGGGAGTCCCCAGCTGATCCTGGGCTCCATGTGGTGCTGACCCTTTGAAACACTGCTCTGCCCTATCGACTAATTGAATAGTCGATGCAAAGTGCATAGACTGTTTAGTGAATTTAATTATACTTAACATCCGTAGTGCAGAGTGGCACTCCCTTCCCTCCCCCATATATCAGGGTTGGAGAACCTCCAGCCCTGGGGAAGGATGCAGCCCTTGGCTTGTCTGAATGCAGCTCCCTGAGGCTCAGAGCCCACCGCCCAGCATTGGAGAGCCCATTCTAATACTCCAGTCCCTCTGTTGCACCCCTGGGAGCTGGAGCACACACAATCTTCTAGGATGAGCCCTCCTATGCTCTGGTGTGCAAGGGGATTGTAGGGACTGTCTTTCTTCTTCTCAGTTGGGGGCCACAATGAGGGTTTCTCCCCTCCCCCCGTTCTTACATGTGTGAGGCCCTGACTGATTGTTCTGTGGGTCAGTGGCTCCTGACCCAAAAAAGGTTCTCCACCCCTGCCATATATGAGCCTCACTGCTCCTAGAGCTGGGGCTGGCAGTCAGGACTCTGCACAAGGTGCTAGTGGCCAGGGACCCCAAGGGTCAGGCAGCAGGATGAGACCCACATATGGGGCTTGGTGGCAAAGTCACCGTGGTCAGCAGCAGGGAGGCAGCGTTGTGATGCTGAAAGCCTTTGTGTGCTGAAGCACCCCCACATCCTTACTCACCATGCTTATGACATTAGTCTTTTCTAAAGAATTACCTGGTTATCCTTTCTTATGCAGTCCAACTCTTTGATTACCTTCATGTGTCTGATTTTCATTTGTTGCATATCTTTGACAATCTGTGGAAGATGCAAAAGGAAACAATCAACTCAGATCACTCTTAATTAATGTCAAGTGTATATGCACCATCAAATAATGAGTATAATCTGTGATTCTTATAAAATGCTAATCATAGCTCTAGTACAATCTAAGAATCCGATTTTTGCAAACACTTGCATAAGGAAATTTACTCATATAAGCAATCCATTACTTTCCAGGACCAAATCTTAAAATGAGAACAATCATTGCGTATTATTGTAATGCAATTTATTACATTTATTGGTTTTAAAACACATATGTATATATAACTTTGTTCTTGCACTGGGCCTCTAGGATTTTATTTTCCATTACAATGGTCTGAGTCAATTCCTCCCTGGGTTTAGACAATATGACTCAGTTGGTTGAGTGGTGTGAGTGCCTTTATTTTAATGAGTCTCTCTATTGCTTCACACTTTTCCTCTGTGAATTTGGCCTAAATAGAGCAAGTTTGAACAGAATCTTAAGTAAATAGAGAGCCTGTGAAGCAGTCTGAGGCTGGAAATGAAATAGTGGGACATCTTTGTACATGTGACATGGTTGCAGTGGCACTTTGTACATACTAATGTCTGGAAAGCCAGGTTTTGCACAACTGATGGAGTTGATTGCAGAGTAAAGTTTGTGCCAAGGTCAAGAGCAAAACAGGCAAATGAAAGGTTCAAGTGCAGGGACCTGATAGAGGAAATGGAGTTGTATTTGAGGATGCTCTTCTTTCCCAAAAGAAGCAGTTCTGAATTTCGTATGAGGACAGAAGTGGCTAGTATCAGTAAAAAGCTGCAGTAAGAGCTCAATAGAGAATGGGTTCTGTGCTATGGGCTACACTAACACCCTCAATTAAAAGTGGACCAGGTCATTGTTTTGTGAAAATGATTAGAAAGAGAAGGAATAGTTACAGTTTGCAGGAAAGCCATCCCTTACATACAGCTATATTAGCATTACAGCAAATCCTATTATGCTAAATACTGTGGTAATAGTTACGGGGATTAAAGGGGAAAAGAATGGAAAGTGCAGGTACCTTTTATGACCTTGCCTCAGCTGCCACATCACTGGATCCATGATAATTGCAGACTAAGATGGCCTAGCCCATTACTGCTGCATAGTGCAGCCTGAAGTCTCACTTTTTTATCCTGAACCTTGCAAACAAATATTAAGTGCCTCCCGATAGATATGAACACAAAGCTCGCCTCAGGCATTTGTCAGGTTTGAATAAAAACAGACGCAAACCCGAAGGACGGGTGAAATTCGTTTTTTTTTTTTTTTTTGCCACAAACTAACAAGTGGCTTCAGCATAGGACAGCTTTGAATCCTCAAACTCAGGCTCACTTATGTGCTATGGAAACAACAATAGTTACAAAGGGAAAATTCCACTGACACTCTCCCATCCCAGCTCTGCCTTGTTCTCCTCTTTTGCTTTTGAGTGCCAGTCTTTTAGGCATAGTATCAAATTACATGTTGCAAGTAAGGAAATCTGCCTGGATTGTAAATCTCCACTCAAACTCCATGGAATGCAGATTCTAATGTGAGTGAGAAGGTGATCCTGTTCTGAGGCTTACAAACTTTTGGATAACTTTGTAGAATGTATTATTGTACTTGCTTCAGCACTTCCTGGTGCCACGTGGGGGTGGAACCAGTGTCACCTGACAACTAGGAGACTGGCTATTTTCCTAAGGGGAGGAAACAGCAATTTTGAGAGAGAAGCTGCTCTTTTGGGACTACCAGTCCAGCGACAATGAGTAATGGACAAACCTCACAAAGTTCAGAAGTCCTGCTCTCTATTGAGCTAGTGCATGAGAGAGAGAGAAGGAAATAGGGCATGCAAACCCACCCTCGCCCTTCTTTTAGAAATGCCTGGATCACTAGAAACAACCTATTCAGTATTCTCTCTGAGGCATAATCTTTAGAGGTTAAAGAATATATCCATTCCCCCAAAATGACAAATGCACATGCTGTGGTCAAACTTGAATACTTAATTCAGAATTAATACATGGGCCATATGTCTGTAAGAGTTGGCAGTGTTTGATATGACCACATTTGGCATTAAATGCCACTTTCCTCTACAGTCCTGTCTTCTGGAAACATGGGATTAGGTGAGATTCTTAGCTTTCATGTCTTTTAAAGTACACTTTAGCCCTTATAACTGCAGAATAAAACTTAAATATGTGATGCAAATGTACCTGATAGGCCCCAAACCCAAACAAACACCAGCAGATAAAGATCCCACCATTTAAACAAAAAAAAAACTTATGATTTTGGGGAGCAGGACTTGACTCATGATTAGCACTGTAATAAGACAAGTCACACTGTGAATATTTGCAATTGAACATTCACACTTGTCTAGTCAAATGATAATATTTCTATTTGCTAATTAATCTGACTAATCCTAAATAAACGAGACAGCTCCAATTGTATAGAGTGTCTTTATATAAGTCAGAAGCTTTCATCTGGAATATTGCATTCAGTACTGGTTACCTCATGTCAAAAAGAATATTGCAGAATTACCAGTTCAGAGAAGAACGACAAGCATGAAAAATCCTTCATATGAAGAGATTGTAAACACAGATTGTTTACCTTAGAAAGGAGATGAAAACAATAAATGGTAGAGAAAAGGGTGATCAAGAGCCTCTGTTCTGTTGTATAACACTAGAACAAAGGGGCATTCAATGGAATTGGAAAGAGAACAAAGTGGAAACTGATAAAGGGAAATATCTTTTTCCATTGAACATTAGATTAGATGGTGAAACTCATTGCCACAGCATGCTTCTGAGGCCAAGAACTTAGCAAGATTCAAAGAAGGAGTGGTCTTTTTATATGGATAACAAGGATCTCCTGAGTTGTTATGGTGGATTCTAACACACACACAAACCTTATGCTTCAAGTATATGACAATTTTTAACTATCAGGGATTAGGATAAAACATTTATCGGGAAACAGAACAGTATTTTCCAGTTAACGGGGGCATTTCTTCCATCAGTCTCTGAGATCTATGGGAGGACACTGTTAGAGACAGGATAATAGATCGGAACCGATATCTTCTCTGTTAAATTTTGAATGTCGCATATTGAAAAATAAATTGACATGTTTGAGCCCAATCTCTATAATTTTTTTAAAAAAGTCATAATGAACTTAGTTGAATAGAATTAAAATATATAGGGAACTAAAATTTGCCTGTCATAGCTTATGAGTATAGACATACTAATTTATTGGATAATTTCCTGTGTTGTACATTATTCTTTCAACTCAACAAATATTTGAATGCTTTCAATTTTTTTTACCTTGGTAATGTATAATTTAGCTAACTTGTATGGAATATATGGTTGCTCTTCTTTTGCCATGCATCCATCCAGCTCAGGCGGCCTGTGATTGTCAGGAGAGCAAACTCCAGGAGCTACTGTATATTAAAAATGTCTTTAACAACTAGACACACAGACAAAAGTGCACAAATAGCTAAGCTTTATATACAAGTTATATTTGTACAATTTTCATCCCAGACAAAGTGCAATATTTTAAACTTGGTATTTTTGTTTTTGATAAATAAGAGTTCTCCCCCAGGGGCTAACTTTTAGAAGTATGACTTTAAATTGCAGTCTCTGGCACAGGCAGCTGCTCAGATGTAAAACATTCTGAGGTGTCATTACTCAGATTGTTTCTGGAATCCATGTAATGGACTACAAAATACAGTTGGAAATGATTCACTAAACGTGCCTTCGCATGTCAGGACACTAGAGTTTAGCTCAACTGAAAATATTCCCCTCTAAAGTTTATTCCAGTTTATTGCTTTCATGGGTGATTTGTTTAAGGATTTATTTTGTTTCATCTCAATGCATTATGGAAACTGAACATTTAATATCCCTACCTTTTATCTTCCTTCCTTTTTAAAAACACGAATAATCACCACATTTATACATGCCAGATTTCTTTAATCTGGTGGTACTTATAGGCAAATTATTACAGGTAATTACAATAGAATGGATGTTATTTCTACCAACCTATTTGTTTCATTCCTTATACTGCAATTCATAGATTAGAAGATTTCTAAAGGCCAAAAGATACCAATATTATCATCTAGTTTGACTCACTTCATAATACAGATTTACCAACATGGGTAGTTTATGAAAAAATAAAATTTGCATGAGGAAGGTATATGTAAAGAACAATATTTATTATGCATGACAGAGTATGTTCCTCAACTTGCATCAAAATACCTTCTTCTACAGCTGTTTTACTTCCTTTCCACCCAATCAGGCACTTCAAAAATGCCAACTTGTTCCCATTGATTCGGAGTTTGTTCAGCCAAGATTCTCTTTGTCCAATTCCAACTGTTAACAAAATGCAGTCACTAATTTCAGTTGAAAATCCAACACAGTAACTTATTTGCATAATAGTATAATTTAATGTCCAAAGAATTCTTAAACACAACGACCCTGCATTACTTCTGTTGAAACCAATGGCAATTTTGCAAGAGTAAGAATGGCAGTAAGAGGAGATTGATTAAATGGAGTTCTGCACATGGCAGAAGAGCATAATATTCAGTTGGGATCTAAATTCTTCAGTCTAAATCTGAGAGTAGAATTGTGCTGACACTGTTGGGGCTGCCCAGATTTTTGGTCCATCTTGACCTCTGTCATTTCTGGCTACTGTTGTCAGCATGCTCAGAGGCTTCTAAACCAATTTTGAAATAGCAAATTCACTGGGTCCCCCCCACCCCATTTACAGCCTCTTCTCTTTTATTCATGCTGAACAAGGCATGTGGAAGCAGAGACACTGGATGCAATCCTGGCTCTATTGAAGTCTTTAGAAAAACTCCTATTGACTTTAGTGGAACCAGGGTGTCATCCAATGTTCAAAAGGCAGGGGGTGGAGGTGGGACGAAGAATCTTATTGCTGCCCCAGAAGTGTGTGTTTTGTTTGTGTTGGCAGGCATTGCATTGTGCAGAATGTGTTTTTGCTTTTCTTCACATAAATCCAAAACAAAATCAGAGCTGACCGCCACACCTAAATCTTTGGGCATCATTCTAAATCTGGCTCAATATTAAAAGTACACAGCTGGCTTATATTATGTCTATAATGGGTCAAACCCAGTCCTATGTACACTAAGACCTACAGTCTATGGGAAATTTTGGATCTTGAACCAATTTTGAAGTTCAGTCCCATTTCTACATTAAAAACTCCCCCTTTCTTGGTGTATGAGGAAATGCCAACAATCTAACAGCTCTATAATATGAGACCAGATCCTTAGCTGATGTTTATTGATATATAGCTTCATTGACTTCTTTGGAGATGAGCTGATTTACAAGAAGAAGGTCTCGCTCATAAATAATGAGATAGGTTTTATCTGGGCTATTAAAATGGAATGTCCTTTTATCAGCTACTTAGTTATATATTGGAGTTAGGGATGTTAGAAAGCAAGTACATAGCTAATTGTATAGTCGATAGCATTTCTATTGACTACATAATTAGTCGATAAGGGAGGAAGCCCCCTGGAGTTGCTTGCTCCCTGCTGTGGTTCTGCAGTTTAAATGTAGTAAGAGCCGCAGCAGGGGTAGCTCCTTTATCCGGTGCAAAGCGGAACTGAACTGGCAGCAGCCACTGTTTGCAGGACATCCTGGGGGGGATCTGGGACACCCGCACTCCCCTCCCCACCGTGGACAGGGACTGTTCCGGAGCTGAAGCAGCCTCTGTTCGTAGCCAGCTGCAGCTGCCAAGGACAAGGGTTGCACTGTTGGATGCGGAGCAGCCTCTGCCTGTGGCAACCCCGAGCCCACCATGGGAAAAGCCTGCTTCCAGCAATCTCCCATGCCCCTACCTCCCTCGCTGCTGCCTCTAATAGATGCAGCAGCAGGAGGAGAGGCAAGCAGCACCACAGTGATGGTGCTGGGGGAACCAGCTTTTAATCTGGCTCCCCCCACACCAGCACCAGCTTCTGCTTCCCCCTACCTCTTGCTGCCTCTGATGCGAATAGTCAAGTAGTCAACTCGACTACTCACATCACTAACTGGAGGCTTGGCACTTCTTTGGAGGCCTATCACCATGTGTCTTGTTTTCTAACAAGAAAATGGTGACATTTTTGTAGGGGATGAAAAGATTTTTGTAGACAAAAGGCTACATCTAGTTCAAAGGGTTACTCTCCTAAGCTATATTCTAGTGTCATTTACGGAACGCTGGTGATTTTACAATAGTCCCAGTGTACATATGTGCGTGAAGGGTGCATGTAGAACTATATGATGAAAAATTCCATTTCGTGAAGGATTTAAGGATTATTGTGAATCAGAAGAAAACCTAACCATATTGAAATTCTCTGCAAAGGAAACCCTTAAATAGTCTTTTGGATTGATCAAACATTTTGATTTTGACTTTTTACAATGATACGTAAAATAAAAATATCAAAACAAATATTCCGTCCAAAACTAAATGTCAAAACGTGTTCCAAAAATGTTAAAATAACCAACATCAAAATGTTCTTTCTAATGAAATTTTGGTAAAATAGACAATTTTGTGAAGTGTTTAGAATTTGACAGCACTACATTTTTCCAATGGAAAATGATTCTAACCAAGTTTTTCTGACCACTTACAGATGGCAGAATGAAAGAGGAGACAAAATCTGGCACTAAAATTACTAAGGGGTAAATTTTGCTTTCACTTCTACCACCATGGAGACGCCCCTCAGTGACTGACCAATAAACCCACTAAGGCTACGTCTACACTGAAAGGTTTTTGAACAAAACCCGTGGAGCATCCACACCTCAAATGTGCTTTTGTGCAAGGAAATCAAGAGTAAAACGGTAGCACGGAGGGCTTTTCCCGCCATAGTTAAACCTCCTTTTATGAGGCATAACTCCCTCTTGTGCAAGAGTTCTTGCACAAAAAGGCAAGTGTGGATGTTCCAGAGGAGCAGGAAAGTGTGGGGAAAAAGCACAAGTGCTCTGATGGCCATTCTGTGAAGGACCATTCTGTGAATGGCCATCAGAGCTTTCTTGTGCAAGAGAATCCATGCAGTGGACTCTTGGGCAAAAGCACAATGCTTTTGTGATGTGCTTTGAGGTGTGGATGTGCTCTTGTGCAAGAAGGTTTTGTGCAAAAACTCTTGCGCAAAAGGCTTCTTGCACAAGAAGCATGTAGTGTAGACGTAGCCTAAGTGTCCATGATATCTGATGACACGTGGTATGTCACAGCAACCTACTGGTCAGCTGGAAATCTCTGTTAAGTTTCTTTCTTTGTATATTTTAAACAGGAGATATACAATAGAGAGGAGACGGCGTGGAAATATATTTTTCTGAAGCTCTCTATATCACAACTGTGTCCACTCATAAGAAAGAAAGTAATTACTTCAATATATTTGTAGGTTGATGGGACTTTGAAAATATACAGAGGAATAATTTTTATGTAATATTTTTCTACACTGAGTTTCGTACATCGCTTGCACTCTGCCATTCTGTTAAGTGCAATTGTATATAATCTCCTCTATGCTTTCTTGATGTGATTTTTATTCTGAAATGTATGAGGAAAAGCCCAGTATAAATTGGGAAATTATCATGACTTTACAATTTAATCATCATGTTCAGACAATACCTTTTTTTCCCCAGTCCTAAAACATCTCTTTATGATACAACTATGGAAATAAACTCAACCACTTGAGGAAAATGGTAATAAATCCTCAGACACAAAAGCATGAATTCTCCCTGAGGAGCAGTTGCTAAAAAGTTACATAATAGCAATTTGTCAGAGGTTATGTGTATAGTGCCTCTTTCTATTTGGAGAGGTAGACATATCACATGCCTAGACTGCACAGTGTCACTTATGGATATTCAAGCTATGTCTTAAAGATATCTCATGTGACTTCTGCCTAAGATTCTTCTATGGCTCTGTGTGGGGTGGACAAGGCCCTGAAGTCCAGAAAAAGGGCAGTAGAGGCTACTCTACTCCAGCAAGGCTACAGTGGCTGCAGGGGAAGCAACCAATTGGGGCATGAAGGCCATATAAAAGGATCAGAGATCCTACAGATCAGAGCAGCAGTTAGTTGCTGTGTGGTGCACAAGGAGAGAAGATTGGGTATCTGGCTGGAAGATTAGAAATTCCATGAACAGCTCAGTGTGGTAAGTTCATTGCAAACAAGCCAGAGACCTGAGGTAAAGGCGAAGGTCATACGGAAGCAGCCCAGAGAATTAGAACAACAGTGGAACAGACATAACTGCTCTTCACAGGTCTCTGGGCTGTGACCCAGAGTAGAGGGTGGGACTGGGTTCCCTCTCCTTTTTCACCGCGAAAGCTACGCCATGCTGAGCCCAGAATTAGCATAACCTACTAGGGAAAGTGGCAAGGATCTTGAGGCATTCTAGAGGTGAAGAATTGGACAACAGTAATCCAACCAAAGGGCTGGAAACAGAAGGCCCTTGAAAAGGTGAAGATAATGCATCTAGGAAGAAATCCCTGACGACATGACTCTATTCCAGAGTGGAAACAAACTGAGAAATTACAGAGAGCACCAAGAGAAACCATGTCAGACTTATACTCTGGAAAGTGTTTGTTTTATTTTGTACACAGACTGTGTGTGACTTGGCAGGAAGGCTGAATAACTCCAGCAAAGAAAGAGTTCAGGCACACACGGTTGGCTGGGGGCACTTATGGTAGGTGAGGATCATAGTATCTGAGCCCTAGATTCACAAAAATCTCTGCAGCCCCTAACTTTTAGGCACCTAGAAATATACTGGAACACACTGTAATTCATAAAGCTTGAGTTAGATACTTACATTCCTTATACAATGAATGGGTACAGACAGGCACCTTAGACTACCTGAAAGGGAGGGAATCCAAAGAGGATGGAGCATGCATGGGATGTAATCAGGAAGACCAAAGCAAAACTGGAGTTGCAGCTAGAAAGGCTTGTAAAGGGTAACAAGAAAAAATTCTACAAGAAGAAAGTGTGGGATTCTTATTGAATAGGGAAGGCAAACTAGTAGCAGATGATGTAGAAAAAGATGAAGTGCTCAGTGTTTTGTGGAGTGGTTTTTTTTTTGCCTTAGTCTTCATAGACAAGGTCAGCTCCCAGACTTCTGAACTGGGTATCACAATATGGGAGGGAGATGAGCAGTCCTCAGAAGTGAAAGAATTGGTTAAGAACTATTTAGAAAAGCTAGATATTCACAAGTCCATGCAACTGGATCTAATGTATCTGAGAGTGATGAAAATGGTAACTGATGTGATTGCAGAGCCATTGGCCATTATCTTTGAAAACTTGTAGTGGTCTGGGAGATCCCAGATGATTGGGGGAAAAAAGTAAGTGCTGTTATCTTTGTCCTTTTAAAAAAAAATCTGTGGTATG